GTTATTTGGTTTCGCAGGACAGCAGTCTTGCTTGGTGGAAAATATATAACAAGGAATACTTTCTTCAGGTCATTTCAAGTGCTGATTGAGTTTGCTGGGAGAGAATCTAGCCATGATCTTGCTCTATCTCTGAGGGAAAAAAATAATAGTCGTAGACGTATTAACTCAGGAGAAACACCATTGGTTTTCAATGTATCAGCTAGTTAAATGAACACTTTTAAGTGTTTGTTTGGGTTCTCTGTTGGGAGACCAACAAACTGGTTTTGTTGTACAATTTTCAATAAAACGGGTTTTAGTTCAAATTTATTAGTTTGGATTGTAGGGTTAACAATACTAGAATGAAGTTCTTCTTTAGAAGGTATTGCAAATTCTTTAAGTGGTTTTCAGTCTTGTTCTTCTTTCATTGCTCTCCTAATTCTTTGGAGCAAAAGTCGGGCGCGTGCGTATCTTTTTGGTTCAACTATTGGATCTTCTAAAGTTATGGTATTGCGAGTTCTTTGCATTAACCGACAAAAGGTGCCTTAGTCTAGACGGTGTAACAATCAATATTATGGTAAGGAAACAAAATAGAATAACAAAGATTTAATAAATTCAAAGGTGTAATACTGGAATGTGGCTTTCATCAATCAGCAACACTCCTACTATCTCTAAATATAACTACTTACGAGACAATATCTTTTTCCAAGAAAAATAACTTAATTAAAAAGGAACTATCACTTTTGATTTCTCGGAACTAGATTTAATCTTTAAAACTACACCGCCCGCTCACGCGTAACCGGTTGCGTATTGCATTAAAGTAGAAAATCCTTTTTTAGTAATCACTTCTTTATTTTAGTTGAAAAGTAATCTTAATTTTAAACTTTAACTTAAAAGGGTTTCCGACATATGCTCGGACAACCGGATTCGAAACCTATAAATGCACTTGAAAATAGTTTCAAAAATCACATTCTAGTAATATTAAACTCTCTTAATTAATTTAAAAAAGTGCTTTCGCAGTTTTTATTGACCTAAAACTAATCAATTTTAATCTTAAGTGTCAGACAGCTTTCAATCTTACCCGACATGTCACGATTTTACTTCCGTAGTAACCAATCAAATTGATTACGGAAAAAATTGTATTAAAACCAAAACAACCCCAAGAGTAATTATATAGAAACAACATATAGAGTATCGTCAAAACGACGGTCCTCACATTCTAGCACTAACAAAATTAGCTGGAGATGGTTACACTAAATATTTTGGCTTTTGTTTGAAAAAAGAATTAAACATAATGAGCGTTTTGATTAAAATAAAGAGCGTGTGATAAATTAAATAAAGTAAAGCGGTGCGATAAAGTAAAGAAAGTAAAGCAATGCGATAAAGTAAAGGAAGTAAAACGGTGCGATAAAGTAAAGGAACGAGAATGTAAATAAACTAAAATTAATAAGAACTTGCTCCAATCGGAGAATTGAATTTGATATAGGAAATCACTTTGATGGAATGTAAATGGCGGCAAGATTAAAAACGATAATGTAAAGTGCTTCAAACTCAAATATAACAATGGTGCAATAACCCTCCAGTGTGAAAACTAAGTCCTATTTATACTAGTACTAAGCCTTGGAAATCAAGTAACCACTTCAGGATTCATGTGAGGGAAAACAAGGTATAATGGGGTGATTCTTCAACTGCCATTTGAATGGGGTGTCAAAACCAAAGATGGTGACTGCCACCTTCACAAAGTTCCAAAAAATGGTCTTTGTGACCGTTGGCACGTGGGACACGTCATTCACCACATGGCTACCTTCATGGCGGGAGCCATCTTGAACGTCGTGTGTGTAAACTGCTCCTTTTTCATCGTTTTTCCTTTGTTTTTTCAAGTATGAGTCTCTCTCGGCTATGTACCTGAAATACAGACAAAATACCAGTATAACACTAGAAATGACAATAAAACAGCGGTAAAACATATGCAAATCGAGCCAAATATATGGTGTGTTTCGAAGTCATCAGCCAACTACTTTTGAGTCTACCTAGTCATATTCCAAAGATTCAAGTGGGTTAGCATATCAACGTTGCTAGGCTCGCTTCCATGGGTCTACAGACAAAGATAAATGTAATCCTTAACATATTCTTTCGTTTGAAAATTGGTGTGTACCTCGTCTTCCGACAAGACGCGAAGGGGCATAAGAACCTCATTGCGATTTATTCCTCCACTAACTTCTAATATAAGGGCATCCAACGAACTAGAAGAAGAAATTCTTCATCCGAAGAGTTACCAAACACCCTTTTTGAGTCAGGATCATCAGATAAGGTGATGACTTTTAGTTTCAAGCGATGGCCATTAAGAGGAGTAAAATGAGAAACGAGGGATGTTCCCATTACAAAGGCAGAGGAAGTTCCGAATTTAGAATCACTCACTAGGTCAACCGTACTATCATTTATGCTAACTAGAAAAACACAAAATGTTGAAGACAAAGCTCGAGTTAAGATGGTACCTGGTTTTGAGATATTGATGAAGTAAGGGAAGATGAAGAAAGGTATGATCTTTAAAGAAAATCACCAAAATTGCTTCTAGTGATGCTCACAGAGAAACAGAAGGAAGACGTTTCCTGAAAAATTAACTGTAAGTTTGAATGCTAAAGGTTACCAAAATGGCCAAATAACCAACTCACCATATTTATAAGCAACATCGACTGAAATAATCAAGACCAAGTAATGAAATAAATCACAAGATCAACGTCTAGATTTCCCTTATAGGCACACACCAACTCGAGTGCACTTAAGTACTCTATAAACCGCACTATACCCTAGTTGGTCACGTCATTGCACGTGTTAGAAAAGAGCGACAAAGCGCTTCAATGAGGGAACCACATTAAATGCTCCGATTCTCTATTACTTTTTCAAAAAATGATCCCAAGCGTTTGGGTTCCATTCCACACAGGATCAAGTCATGGAGGCCAGTCAATGATACTTGAGGTTTCCTCCAGCTCCTTCAGTGTTCGACAAAGTCTTGAGAGCAACTATTTTGGATCGCCCAAAAACCCAGATGACCAAGGCCCAACCCAACCTTAAGTCCACCCTACTTGACCCAATGTATAAAATCATTTCACACGCTAAAAGCAAGGTGAAATCAGTCATCTCCACCTTCACTATATTCGTCCTGAATCTTGAATAAAATTGGGCTTTGGAGTGCTAATTAAAGGTACAAGAAACACAAGGGGGGAGGGTTGAATTGGATTTCTGGATTTAAAAGCTTTTGCAACTCAATATATCAAACAACAAGGATATTGATAAATATAAGAGCACAAGTATTTTTATCCTGATTCGCTATTAATGAGACTACGTTCAGTCCACCCGCTTGAGTGGTTTCACCATCTCAATAAGAACTTAATCAAATAATCAAATTGATTACAACAACTCAAAGACACGTAATCTAAGACTTCTTGAGAAATTTTGATTATACCATAGTGTCTCAATGAAATATCACTCAAAGACTTATTGTCAATGACTCCTTGAGAATTCTAACTACACTTAGTCTCTCAAGAAAATTAATCAAATGTTAGGATAAACAAGGTTTGTGTTTACAAGTTGCTTCAAAAATCAGATACACAAGTTAAAATCAAATATTACACTTAGCAAAGATATTCAAAGAAGATGTTCTAAGTGTAAGAGTGTGAGAGACAATTCTTTTATTTTTCTCTTTCACGTATGTTCTTTGAACGTATACGTTGCAATTCAAATTAGTTCGTTACTTTTCCAATCTCCCAGGACCTCTTTATATAAGAAGAAATAGATCTGTTTGAGCGTGAAGTTGGAATATCCTCAATGTAATAATTGTATGAATGTCATTTCATATTGCAACATTAGAGTGACGTTTGCAACAGAAAGTTAGTGAGGATGATGGGGCATGAGAAACTTCTTTTGGTACGGTGTACAACACTTACTTAAAAAGTAGAGTTACTTTTGTATTTTTGTCACATTAATCAGTCGTTGACATTTAGATTTAATCTTCTAGTCAGATGCTTCGTATACAAGTTGGTGAAGTTTGAGTAAAGTTCATAATCTGACTTTAGAACTTGGCGAGACTTCAGAGTCTTTGGAATTCAAAGTTCTAAGACTTTCAGATGCTGGTAGTCATATTATTTATCAGAGTCTATTTAGATAGTTCCTATTGAGAAACGCTGACTTATCAGATCAGATGTTTGACTTCCTTGTAAATACGTTTTTAATTTCTCCTTTGGTTTAGAATCTGAACGTCTTCAAAGTCAGAGTTTATCATCTATTATTTGCTCACTTAAAAAAATAGTTAAAATATAAAATTATTCTCTACATTTTATTATCATTAAAATTTAAAGATAGTTGTAGAACCAAACTTATTCCAATAATAAATATACATGTCCACCCTATACCAAAAAGATTGTAACCATCAAGATTACAAATTCTTCACTGCGTCAATGATTTTCAAATGAACAATTTTTAAAGATAAAACAAATGGATTCATTTAATCTTAAAACATTTGATTTATTTGAGATTCTAAATATAATTGTTACACATCGCTATTTCCTAGTACCATGCCAAAACTAAAAGTGAGGACCAACAAATAATTAAAAATCCCAAATCATTGCATTTGCACCTGTTTAGATAAGTGATATGGGAAGAAGTAGGTAGATTTTTACCATCATGTTTCCATTCACCTAAAATCCAAAACAGTATTTTGGAACCTTTCCCATTTCACAGATACAGCACTATCATTTACCTTACCCTCCATTGTTGCCATCGACACTCCTCAATAATCAACGCCACTCCTCCGAATTTCCCTCTAATTTTATTTCTAATATTCAAGGTACCGCGTTAATTTTTAACAATTCCATTGACTCTTTCAATTTTCAGTTTTCAATTCCTTCGGAGAAGGGTCCAAAATTGACTTTAAATCTTGATTTCTTCAATATCGTGATGATCAGTGAGTTTTGTGTCAGGGTTTTCAATTTCGAAGATTCTTTCATTGAAATCGAACGGTGATCGTTATGTTAGGGGAAGTGCAACTTCAGCCTCCACCTATTCAGCAAAACCCTAGTGATTCCGATCCTTTACTCGGTCATAAAGACGAGATTGAAGCTGATGAGTCCCCTGGAAGTTCTACCGAGATTATGAATCAGGAAGATGTTGAAGCTGGGTTACTCCCTTGTTGTCGAATTTGTCTAGAAACTGATTCTGATCCTGGTGAGTGTTTCTTTTTGATTTTGCGCCAGTTTTTTTGGAATTCTTTTTGTGAGTTGAGAGTTTTTTTCTCTTTTTTGTCTGAATATGATTTGGATAACCAAATTAAGGACTATTTTGGTTTGGCTTCGAAATTGGTGACATTTTGATCGGATACTGTAGTTTTGGGTTTTGAATTGATCTTGTCGTGGTTTTTATTTCCTTCCAAGCATGACATGGATAACAGTGGGTGATTCAGCTTCCCATATTAGGTTGATTGGTTTTTGGAAAGTTAGTACTTTTTGATACTGTTGGTTAGTTACTCGCCTTAGCAAACATTGAACTGAAATTGGGAAAATGGGCTCTTCTTGTATGTTAATGTTGTGTTCGGTAGTGTAATATTTGAAAATATTTTCATTTTAATAAATCTTGCTGGTTAATAAAGGGAAGCTCTTGGTGTTAATTTTGGAAGGTTTTAAAAAAGCGGCCAGTTACCACGAAAAGTGCCGCGATAAAACGGTATCAGAAGGTGCCGATACCGATAATGTTATTCACCGTTTTTATGATAAAGGACAAATTGTGATTAATTCACACCACAACGACCACAGTCACTGTTACAATGCCTGTACCGACCAAAATTGCAAAAGCCTTTATGCGACCGTGACAGTTTGTTTGGTCTTTTGGCGGTTAGTTTCTGTTTGGTTAGGTGACCTTTTAGTTTGTGCTTGATGCAAGTGTGGTGCTTATATTTAGTATTTCATGGTTTGTGCTTGGTGCGTTAGCCTAGAAGTTTTTGTTGTATGGGTGCGAGGGGGTTTTATTTTAGCCTGCTTTGGTTTTGTTGTGGGAGGATCTATGGTTACGGGGTAGGAGCTTTGGTGGGGCATCCCATGTTTTATTTTCATTGGTTTTGCTGTACTGTATCTAACAATCTTGCACAACTTGCGGAGGATTTGGTCTGGTTTAATAAAATTTGCTGCTCAAAATAAAAATAAAAATGGAATTAACTAGAATATGGGAAAGCAGAAAACTATTGCCATTCAGTTTCATTGGTTTTCTGTTGAATGCATGCATTAACCCAAATGTTTTCAAAGAAACACTGCATTTTCTATGTTTAAACTTCATGTTTTAAGCATAAATCAATATTGCGACTAGAAGAACATGAATTATCTTCTCTGTTATGCCTAAGAGTAAGAATGGTAAAGATTGATTGTTATTAAGTTTTTTTATTTTATTTTATTTTTTACCTTTTCTTGTTGAGGCCAGCATATCCTCATACATGTGCTTTGCCTGTGCTATTAGTCTGATAAAGCTACATGATATTAGCAAAAACTAACTTGGCTGATATTAAATGGGTAACATTGTTTTCCTAAACCTATTTTTTGTTTGGCTTTGTAGAGGATGAATTGATATCTCCATGCATGTGCAAAGGAACCCAGCAGTTTGTCCATCGTTCATGTCTTGATCACTGGCGCTCAGTAAAGGTATATGTTTTGATGCATAATTTTAACTGCTAGTCTTTACTGGTTGAGATCAAATGTCAATTACATTAACTGTTTATTTTTGGGCTTCATAGGAAGGATTTGCCTTTTCACACTGCACCACCTGCAAAGCCCAATTTCATCTTAGAGTTGAAACGTTTGAGGACAACTCTTGGCGTAAAATAAAGTTCAGACTTTTTGTAGCAAGGGATGTTTTTCTTGTTTTCCTGGCCATACAAACTGTGAGTATTTTAAACATTACTCCCTCCATTCCACGAGTGACCCATTTGACCAGGAAATGGCTTATTCATTATTATTTATTTATTCGCCAGGTGATTGCTGCTATTGGTGGCTTCGCGTACATCATGGACAAAGATGGGAACTTCAGGAACTCTTTTGATGATGGGTGGGATAGGATACTGTCAAAGCATCCGATACCATTTTATTATTGTATTGGTAACCAATGGCTGAAACTCCTCTGCATTTGTCCTTGGTTTTTTGCCATGAAATTTTCAGATATTAGGTGGCCATATTTCTCTACATTATCCTAGATACTTGTAATCTGCTTTGAGATTTTCCTCCTTCACGTTTTATGTGAATCCCTAAGAATATTACAAAGAGAATGCTGTCCATCTGTTGTCATGTTGGGGATGAAAGAGACATAAGCAGACACCTGAATAAATTTAGTTATAATAAAACCAAACTGCAGTAACATGAAACAATCCAAATGTTAGAACAAAGAGTTATAGCATGAGAAAAAAAATCTAACTATTCATGTTTTATGCTTTGGGGGAGGAAAAAAAGACTGTATAAATGAAAAGTAATTTTTAACTTGGAAGTACTAATTCCCCTAGCTTTTTTCTTTTTTGCAAGGTTCTTAAGTTTACCATGAAATATATATCAAAAGATTTTAATTATCTATGTCATATTTCATTCATCGGATCTTCAATGTTTAGATAATTATCCTTTTTGTGATATAATTATTTGAAAAGCTATGGCTTTCCCCCCTCTTTATCTCCCTCCCTCTCACAGTTAATATCCATATTCCAGGAGTGGTGGCTTTCTTTGTACTTATTGGATTTTTTGGCCTCATACTTCATTGCTCTTCCCTCAATAGCAATGACCCCAGAATGGCCGGTTGTCAAAACTGTTGTTACGGATGGGGCATATTGGATTGCTTTCCCGCATCAATGGAGGCATGCTTTGCCCTTGTGGTTGTTTTTGTTGTCATCTTTGCAATTCTAGGTGTAGCTTATGGTTTTCTTGCAGCCACCATGGGAATTCAGAGAATTTGGCAGAGGCATTACCATATCCTAACCAAGAGGGAGCTTACAAAGGTAATGTGCTGATGCTAGTTGAATGTCCTTATTGTTATATAACCTCTGCTAAATGAAATCTGTCTTCAGAAATAGTATTTTCTATATCATATGATACTCTATTTGAATATGATGCACAGTATGCATATTTAATTCTATGTAAATATTTACAGGAATACGTAGTAGAAGATCTACAGGGCTGTTACGTCCCACCCAAGTTAGACCCAGAACATGAAAGTCGCCTGAAAATGCTTAAGCTTTTGTGATTCATGGAACAAATCTGTAAAAATGTGTTTTTGAATTATTCATGTATCAATCTGTTGCTTTATTTGCTGGTTATAGTCTCTTACGCCATCCTTGTTTGCTAGAGCTTGGAAATGGTTTATATCATTGTTTTTTTTATATAAATCTGTGATCCCACCAGATTCTGTAAACTCCAAATCTGACAGTTGGAGAATATGAGGAAAATATTTGCAGTTAAACTGTCCAGCAAATGAACTTGCCTTTATTTATTCATCACCATTGTCATGCTGTATGTTTGGATGACCAATTCATAAGTTAAGTTCTCCAGCCTTGTATTATTATCAGCAGGCAAAGGAATTAGAAAAAGGATCTCTACCAATTCAATGGTAGAGATAGGCATAACTCCCCTTGTTATCTGCATCAATTATTATCTCAGAACTAGGTTCTACTCATGTTTTATTATGGAATTTGTAATCTGTCTTTTGTTTTTGCAAATGGAATACATCATTTTCAACCACTAATGTTATTTAGCTCGTATAATGATTACAAATTGTACAAGGTTAACCAGAGTGGGAATTAAGAAGTAAACACAATCTGATACTTTGAATTATATAAAATGCTGCCTTTTGGGTTTTACTCGCAACTTGGGAAGGGTTCCTGGAATTAAGAGAGCTGCATGAGACAATGTTATTCTAGGGGATAATAAACATTTGAAGAATGATAAAGATTTTAGTAGTTATTTTGTTAAGGGGGTTGCTCTTCACCACTCACCATTATAAAATCTAAAATTGTCATTCCTATATTGGGAAGTATATTTTTGTATGAACCAAAAATATACCATACGACTTCCCTAATCCAAAATATACCATTTTTTATTTTTGATAGTGAGCCATCCATCTTATTTTGTCAAAAATTAGTTTGAAAGTGTATTCGTATTGGAAGGGTGAGTCTGTATGTGTATTTTTTGAATAATGTATATACATTTTGAATGCATAGGAGTCTGTTTATTACACAACTCTAATGACCCTTAGGCAGGAAGTTTGTTACAAATTTAATATTTTTTAAGGAATTTTATATTTTAAGCCATTTATACTGAGTATACTATTAAAATAATTTTTTTTATCAATTAAACCACGGATTTTTGTAATTCAAATAAAATGTCTTACATTAATTCAATCAAAATTCAAAATCAAACATCACCGTTGACAAATTACAAACTATAATACAAATATTATCAAAATACAAGTAAGTGTGAACTACGAAGTATATGTGACTCTTCGGTTTCTTCTCTACGACCTGTACTGTAAGGCATTTTGTACAATCAAATAAATGGTCTCTATAGTCGCCTTCACAATAGTCGCCTTCACAATAACGCCTTTCAGAAACTCTAATCTCTCTATACCTGCCCGTGTAATAGTCATAATATGGTGACATGCAGGTAACACATCAACGACACAATCTACCATATCATGTTCCTCCTCTAATATCTTATAATGACCCGACTTAGATGGACCTCTCTGAACATCTGATGTCATGTACAGATGTGACATTCTGAAATATCATTGGACGTGTCGAATGCACTACTCCATGGCTAAGGAGCTACCACACTTCATGCTTCTTCTGGTACTAGATGATTAAAGAAATCATCAATCATCACATCAACATCTCTGTGAACGATAATAGTAGGAGCAGACACGACAAAGTCTCTTGGAATAACATGTAGAAACCCAAACTAGCACCTGATTCACTCAAATAGATATGGATAAATCAGGTGTGACCCACAAGCTAACCATTAAGAGTAGAAGACTATGTCATCCAAGGGTCGTTTCTGACCGTCGTACGGTGTATACGATATACCATATGCTGCAATGCAATTAAGAAACACTCGAAGCGACTCAATCACCTGTTTCCCTCTGAACGAGATGAAGGATCAAGCACGCGACAAAGCCTCATTGTATTCATCCACATATGACCAAGTGGAGACGCGTGGAAAGTGAGAGAGGACTCATGCCTGAAAATGGTTCAGATAAAATGTTAGTAATGATGTAGCATAAGTATTATGAAATATTAGTAATGACAAATGTGAAAATATATTACTGTTAACAACATGTTGCTTGTTGTCATTTGTTTAGTTTACTAAAGACAAACTTCACCTAACTACGATTAGAAGTAAACCAAACTAACTATGACCGAAATGAATAAGATTATCTCATGAATGTTCTCATAACAACGAGTTTTAGTCAAAAGTGGATAAAATGGATTGTGATTTGTGTGAAAATTGTGAATTGTTCTATGGTAAGACCTATTGTTTTAGGACGTGGTTAAAGGCAAGGTGATCTCCTGTCTTCGTATCTTTTCATATTGTGTTAAGAAAGTCTCTCGACACCTATTACACAAATAGAAGTTAGGGAGATATACATAACATTAACATTTATATAAATGTTCCTATCATATATCATCTTTTGTTCGTTGATGGAGGAGACATTAATCTTAAAAAATCAGAATATTTTACCGCAGTAATGTCTCTAGTAATGTCAAAGGCGGGATAACTAATATTTTATAGGTTCAACAAGTTTTAAAAATAGGTAAACATCTTGATTTACCCTTCATGGTTGGAAGAAGTAGAGAAATCACTTTCCAGTTTATTAAACAAATAGTCTTGAAAAAGATAAATTCTTAGAGTAATAAATGTCTTTCTCAGGCAGTGAGAGATTACATCCCATTCACATCTTTAAATTTCTCTCTTTTGCAAGAATTAAATCAAGACCAACAAGTTTTGTTATCAGCTATTATTTAGAGTATTTGGAGGGGTAAAAACATTCATATATGGAATCACATAAAAGATTTGGTGAAAACAATTTGTGATCGTGCCTCTTACCTACTTTTGGGATGGAGAAATGCATAACAAAACCAGTCGAAAAGCTCTATCCATAATGAAATCCCTATGAACAATACTTGGAGAAAACCTTTCAGTAAAAAAATGTTAAACGTCATCTCTCAATTGATTTCCACGAGACATAGTTTGGCATTGCAAGACCGCGGAATTCTTCCAGCCTGATATTCATCCTTTAGAATCGTCTCATTTTCATTTATAGTTTTTTCTTAACCTTCTGTAAAATAGTCACAATTTTCTATTAGTATGAAACAAATGTAGTAATTACAATACAAGGACACTAAATCCATATTAGGGAATGACACCATTACATTGTGTTGCATAATTGGAATCTAGCACCCCACCATCCCCAACAAAAATAAGATGATCACCATCTCTAATAACCTCAATATCATCAATTTCAGCTCCATCTTTGCAAACAACCTTATTAGCAACTATACCAAATTTCTTACCTCCAATCTCAAGCAACTCTTTAAAACTTTCAGGTAACAATATAAGCTTCCCAGCAACCTCGCCCTTTTCCGGACAACTAACCGTAACTCTACATGGACACACATTACTCTTCACACCATTCCTCGCTATGTTATTCATATTAACAGATAAAAACTGATCATTTTCTCCTTTGGTTGCAGCCGACATTATCCCGAATAGCGAGTTGTGGAAATTGTTATTCCTGCGTCTCGGGCGATTTGGAATTGGATTCCACGACCCGTCGTTTCCATGAAACGATCCATCTTGAGGTATAGGTATTATCGGCTCACTTGTAAATCTACCAAGGTATCTCACCTTAGCACTGCCCTGTCTCTCAGGAATAGACATAGAAACAAATGGTTGAGTCTTAGGTTGTTCTCCTTTGGCTTCAAAAATGGCTTTGATTTCTACATGACCTTGTTGATCAGCAAAATCTCTTGGAGTCCAACCATATCTGTCTGGTTTATCAATGTTAGCTCCATTTTCTAAGAGAAATTTGACAATTTCTACGTTGTCTTCGGACACCGCGACGTGTAAAGCCGTGGTTCCAACGGTGTTATTTGGAAGTGAGATGTCTCCTCCATAACGCATAATGTCTTTTAACAAATTGAGATTGTTTTGTTCAGCTGCAGTGCATGCATATTGACCAACATCACCACTTTGCAAGGTTGCACCATTTTCAACCAAAAGTTTTGTTACTGTTTCATGTCCACCAAGTATAGCCTCCCACAGTGCTACATTTCCATCTGAATCTGAAAAAAATAAATAAAGAAAATATAAAATTATTTGAAATAATTTATAAATAAAATGTTATAAGCACAGTCTTAATGTGAAAAGACGCGTTAAAATGTAAAAAGACGTGTGATTTCAAATCACACCGCAATTGCGGTTTGCGGAGACTAATTGCATTCGACCGTAATTGTGAACGGAGTGATCGGAGGCCGCAATTTATAATCAGGGATATACACAAAAAAGAAAACTATAAATTCATGCTAAGGGATTCATGATAAGAAATGTTATATTATAATTTTTTTTGATAAATGATTTTTCCAAAGTCAACATTAGTGTGGAGTGGGGCTATGCAATTTGGATGAGATTGGTCATGAATGTAAGTTCTACAATATATAATAAATTTGTGAAATTATTAAAACAATGTATGACAAAAAAAAAATCGTAAGAATTTTATTGGCAAAAAGAGGCATGGATAAGATTGGATTAGGTATATTTTGTTATTATAAGATTTTAGTTACAACTAGTAGGCTGTTGACTCTGAGAGACCTGAAATTATAATAATGAGAAGGAAAAAACTATATACTATATTATTAAGAAATAAATAAGATCATTTTTTAATATTATAATACAATTATTAAAGGACGGTGGTATATAGAAAATCAAAATCATATGAGGAAAGTCAATTAATAATTTATAACTTCATTAATACTGCTACAAGAAGAGTATATGCAATCCATGTAGTGAGTTGATTTCTTTGTCTAGTTTTTAAAATAATCCAAGGAAAAGATAAATTTAATGACTTCCCAATACAGAAAAGATAAGTCAACTAAGAAACTAAATGATAGACATAAGAGATTATTTATTGCAAGGGTAGAGGACAAAGACAAATAAGTAGTAGTAGATGTTCATTTATATATTTAAATAAGTAGACACTTTTTTAATAAAGTAAAAAAATCCAAATGCTTACTAATAAAGTAAATAATCCAAATAAATTATGATTTGGCAATAATTGTCGTTAATAATAGTTTTCAAATGTCGTTGTTTTCTAAACTGATTATTATTCCATGTATTGTATTTTACAGTACTTTTTAAACTTATAGTGCAAATAGTGCTATAACCAAAATAATTGAGGATCCGTTCATTTCAACTTTTACTTTTAAAATTTTTAAAAATTAAAGGTAGCACACTGTATTTTAAAAAGTGTAATTTGGTGAAATTTATGTTTTTTATTGGTTGATACTATCAGTATATATTCTTTTGTCTCAAAAAAATTTATAGTGTAAGAAATTAAAATTTTTGTAAATAAAATAATTTTAAAAAGTTTTAAATAAAAAATTAATTTGAATAATTTTTTATAAAATATTATTTAAATTTCATCCTCTGATTATATTTTGAATATCAAAATTTTAAAATATTTTGAATACTTTTTAATAAAAATTATTATTGAAAGATATCTTTTTGAAATATTAAATGAATATCATTATATTTAAAGTTTCAATAATGTATATTTATATTAATAAATATCCAAATTAATTTTTTAAGAGGTTAAAGAAGATGCACTTACATTGTAAAAGTTTTATTCTATCATCCAAATTGATTGATTGACTGTGTAAAATTTTTTTACACCATCAATATATCACCTATTTTCTCATTTTTTAATTCATAAAAAAACTTAGAATATTTTTAATTTTTTTATAAAAAATCATTTTAAAAAAAAAAACAATCTTTTCTAAAGATAAAACAAAGAATGGCTTAAACAAAATAGTTTAGAGACAAGAAATATTTACCTCTAATGTTGGGATTTGCTCCATAATCTAACAGAAGCAAAACACAGTTTTCTTTTCCTTTAGATGCTGCTATATGCTGATTTTGTAAGAACAATAAATCAGCACAATAGATTAAAAAGAAATAGATAATACACAAAACAATATAAAAAATAAAAACCAAACACTCACCAATGTTGTCCTTCCATTGTTGTCAGATTCATTTGGATCCAAACCTCGTTTTAGCAGTTGATGTAACAACAAATCATCTCCTCTTGATGCTGCAAAACATAGACTCACCGGTAAGTCCATTCTACCGCGAGCTAACATGTTCTCCGTCTCTACCAAAACCCCCTCCATGATCGGATCGTTAAGCTCTTTCAAATGCTGCACACAATGATATCATGTGAGAAAGAATTATAGAAAAATGTTCGGTTATGCGAGAAATCGTTATGATATTATGTGAACCTGAAGAAGATTGTTCATGATTATGGTTCCGTCGCCAACATTAGCTTGAACGATATTCATGAATGTGGTACGGTTCAGCCTCAACAATTGACTTAATCGCTTAGTTCGAACGGTAAAATGCTGTGGCTTATAGCAAAGTACACCGATTTCGCCGCAAAGTTCTCCTGTTTTTGCTTCCCCAACAACATGTTCAACCCCGCCTTTGAGAACTAGTAGGTCCTGTCAAATAAAGATATCTTAGAAAGCACGCAAAGAAAATAGTTATTCTATGTTACAATATCAACAATGTTGAAAATGCGCATTTAGAATTCGAATCAATGATAACAATATTTACCACAGCTCCGGTGACTAGAATGTAAAAATCGGTCGGAGCTTCGTTTTGTAATATTACATCTTCTTTTGGTGGAAAATATTCGGGCTTCATCTCCGATACCTTTTGAAGTCGAATCAAAACAAAATACAAAACATTAACGCAAATTGAATAGGTAACTAACAATTACAAGTTATGATTAAAAAGGCGCAATTACCAATTGAAAGAGCAAATCATTTGAAACCCCTTTGAATAAATAGACCTTATCCATCAAATTATAAAAAAGATAATGTGAAATGCTTGATCGGATCGCTTTCGGAAGAGAATCAAGCGTCTCTTGTTGCTGCAAACCCTCTGAGTCTGTTCTGAACTTCAAACACAAGTGAGCAAGCATTTGATCTTGTAAGCGAGGCGGCAATTGGTTCCTCTGAGAAAAACTCGACGCGGCTTGTATGGTATCCCTCTAAAAATAGTCGCAAACAATGAGTTCCACAATTTCTTAAACATGAAATCACTAACCAAAATCAAAAACTTGATACTCACGAATTTTCTAGTTCGACTTGTGCCGTGGACAACTAAATTAGTCATGTTACCAATCAGATACGCGGTTAATCCTAGATTGAAGAGCATGTAAAAGATGACGAAGATCATTTCCCTCTCGTTCACCGGATGCAAATCTCCATAACCGACCGTTGTTAAAGTCGTGATCGACCAGTAAATAGTTGTCACATATCTTGTCCACAAGGAATGGTGAAGGAAATCTTCCATTGTTTCGCCAATCCACGTCTTTTTGGGATCATGATAACGCGCGGCAAGAAGATAATAAAAGCATCCAGCGCAATGCACCGCAAAAAGAGTAACCTATAAAAATCATTCAAATTATTAGTTTATTTCATTTCATTTATACCGAATGTCACAAACATCATTCATTCAAAAACTTACACAAATAAGCTTCGCGCATCGAACCCAAAAATAGTTAAAGTTTCTGTCCTTCTCAAGCCTGATATAAAAAACACAACAACATAGACTGTCATGAACTACACAACAAAGAAACAAAATATATATCGAATTTCATGAAAGTGAAGATATCGCGATTCTCAATCTTACCGAGAAAACAAAGAGCTAACTCTTCGAAGACGCCAAAGCCTAAGCATATTGAATAGGCCATAAGTTTGAATCGGAGCGGGGGACAGACTTGCGACAAGCTCGGAAGGAATGATCGATATAAGATCTAATACAAACCATGTTCTTGCATATCTCCAAGCAATCTTTTTCGGGTTATCGACAAATAAATAAGTAGTTTTGTCAATGAAAGCGACAAAGAAGGTGAGAATCATGTCTATAGCAAAGAATCCATTGACAATGTTATCTGAAATAGAAAGAGGTTCTTCTGGTTTCTTAAGGAATCCAAATTCAAATGGAGATACCCAAGCTGTATACACTACCAATGTAACAAGAAAAGTTTCCCATATCCTGCAAATAGCCAAAAAGTTTTAATTACTTAATAGCCAAAAAAAAAAAAAATTTGCACATTTAAAAAAATTAGAAATAAATATACTCCTTTTTTTTTTTTTTTTTCAAAATTTACTTAACCAATTCACACAATAATAAAAAAAAAAAACTATTTGTTGAAAGAGAAAATAGTAATTTTGGTGAAATTCTTTTATTTTTAAAATTAATTAATTATTATTTTTATACCATATACTACTTTTTAAGTTTACATGCAATTTGTAATTATACAAGTATTAACTAGTTCTCTTCTTTTTGTTAAGGATAAATTTATAACATTGCACAAAATGTTTAAAAAATTTAATATCACAATTTTTTTTTATATTTTTAGATTCACTTTTAACATAAATATAAAATAAATTGATATTAAATTCAAATAATACAAGAAACATTAATTATTAAATATATATAACACAGTTGAAAAGAAAAATAATAATTAATTTGTAGTCAAAATAAAATGAAAAAACAGCAAGAAAAAAATGTAGATGAATTATATCAACTTATAATAATAATTGTGTAGAGACAACCAATTAAAATGTACCTCCTATTACCATCCAAAGTTTTAAAAAATGTTTTATTCCGACTACAACAAAACGATTCGAAAAAAATGTTGTTATTCAGCGTTTTTATAAAAAAAAGAATTATGGCTAATTCACGTTCCGACATCGACAATAATTATCATAGCACTTGTACCGAATAAAATCGTGAAACTTTTTACGTGACAGGGACCATAATTTGAAACCTTGACCATCACCAAACCACCTTGGGGATTTCCCGGTCTGGTCCCTATCACCTCTATAGAAACTCCCCAACCACAAAGTTCTAAATAGCCCGAAACAGAGTAACAGTTACAGAGACAGAAAAAAAACAAAACTGATATTGAAATTTCAAATTAAGAATTCAATTTCAACTTTCTTTCGTTACATAAAAACAGCATCATTACCACACGACCAACTTCCAGGTTTCTTCTCATTGAAGCAAATAAAGTCAAACTTTATACTATGACCAGAGACACGTGTTGAAGAGCATGAATCTCTCATTACACAGAGTAAAACAAATAAAACATTTCTATATAAAATTCGATAGATCTAAAACAAACAACATTTCGAGAAATATTGAGTCATAAAACACAAATGAAAACGAAAGGTAACCAAAATTTCATGTTTTAGTATTCGGCGGTGTTCATTAAGAAAACATATTGTTGGTTTCTGGTTTCTTAAGGTTTCTGAATGTTTCTGAATGTTTCTGAAGTATATAATAAAACAAGCAAATTTTACCATTTAGTCAAAAATCATTTCGAAATATACAAGAGGATACAAACAAAAATAAATTAGAATTCAACAAGAAAGAAATAACTTGAATGGTTTCAAAAAGTAGCATAAAAGAAAGGATCACAAACAAAAAATCCAATAAAGTAATACTTCAAATGACAAACAGAAAACGAAAGAAGTGGAACATTAACAGCTAAAAAATTTCCGTCACAAACAAAGCAACAAAGAAAAACATGTCTATGTACTTTTTCACAACAACAACAAAAAATGTAAAAAAAAAATGCAAAATACTAAAAAACTGATTCGATGAAGAGGAAGACCGGATTACCTGTAACGGCGGTCGTAAGGAGATATAATGAGAGGGCGAAGTTTAACTCTCCGGTTACTTCTTGCTCCGAGAGAAGGTAGTATTCCGGTGGAGATACTGTAGTGGCTGCCATCTCTGGATAATTCAAGTTCTTCTTGACCACACATAGTCATTGGAATCACTATTTTTAACGTTTCAGAAATTTGTTTCTCCTATGAATCTTAAGTTTTGTGTTTATGTTTGTGTTTTTACAAGTTGTTACTAGTACAAGGTTTCGGTGGTAGTTGAGGCGGTTCTGAATATATAGGTTGGTTATGTATGTCAGTTGTTGTAAATTGTAATACACCAAGTTTCCCGTGTGCTCTCTATTTATACACTAGAAATTTGACAAAATGTACTCAAATAGGAGTTGATGGAGACATCTTATAAAAAAAATTGGAGTACAAAATAGTAAATTTACTAGGTTTTATTTTACTTTTTTATGAGGCTTGTCTTAATGACACTACTGTATTGATATTTCTGGCAGTTTATAGGGACTTGAGATTGGTGAGTCAATGATGCTATTAATTAACTTTTTTTATTAACTCTAATATATATATCATTTAACGAAGGTCACATTATTTTATTCAATTATTATTGAATAGATTTTTTTAATACTTTCTTCTTCTATTGACATCTTTTGTGATCCATATAAATTAGTGAGTTTCTGAATTTAACTTTTATATATTTTTTTTTGTCTTACTTCTCACTTTTGTGTTGCTTTAATCTTTAAAATTAGATTTTTTTTGTTAAAAAAATGCTAATTGGACTAACGGTACCGAAGTAGTAAGTATCGCTGAAGGTGTTTTTTTGTTTTATTAATTCTACATTAATTTCATGTCAGCATTTTTATTATTATTTAATTATTTGAGAGTTAAATGGGAAAAACATAATTTTTTCCATGAGAGTTCAAACCCAGGACCATTTTATTATAACAACAACTTTCCATCAAACTATTTGTTTCATTTAATCTACATTTGTAATGGAATTGAACTAAATAACTTATGCAATTGAACTATTTAATAAACTATTTAATATATAAATACTGCATTTATTTTATAAATAGTTCATAAAATAGTTTATAAACTATTTAATATATAAATGTTTTATGAACTATTTAATACATAAGTATTTTAATATATATAATTTTAATAAAATATTTTATAAATTATTTATTAATTAGTAAAATAATTAATCTTTAAATATTATTTTAATATATAAGTATTTTAATAGTTGAATTATTGAAATAATTTATAGACTAAACAAATAAAATAGTTGAATTAGTAAAATAAAGGTAGTTTAATTATAATAGTTAAATATTAAAATCATTTAGTAAATAATATTTAAAAACTAATTATTTACTAATTAATATAAGTATTTTAATTATAAACTACTCAATAGACTAGTTCATTAATTATTTAATATTTAATATTTCAACTATTTTATTAAATATTAATAAAATATCAACATTAATTATTAATAGACTAATTATTAAATAGATTATTTAATATTTAATAAAATAATTATTAATAGACTAAATATTTAATAAAGTAATTATTTAATAGAATAAATATTTAATAGACTAAATAGCTGAAATATTAAATAAACTAAATAGTTGAAACATTTAATAAATTATTTAATAATATTAATATTATTTCATAATATTAATAAAAATAAACTTAAAACATAATGTTAAATGATTCAAATTAAACTAAAATAGAACTAAGATTCGGAGATTAGCAAGTTCGATTTTTGGTAGGAACAATGTTTGGCCGGACTTATGACCTTTCAGGCCGAACTCTGAATTACTAGGGCCCTTTCTCCTAAGAATCAGAGGGTGAAAACAAAAACAAAAAATAATATAAAATAAAAATTAGTTAATTAAACACATAAGTATTAATATGAAATAAAAATTATTTAATTAAACACATAAGTTGTAATCTGAAATAAAAATTAATTTATTAAATAATATGAAATATTAATACTGAATACTTAGTAATATTATTAATATTAAGTAATTTATAATTAAAATAATTAAGTAATGTTATTAAATATTAAATAATTTATTAAATACTGAATCACTTATGAAATATATATTTATGCTGCATGTTGTTATTAAATGGAATGGTTAGCTTAATGGAAGGATGATCATTTGTAATTGGAAATGGAAAATAATAACTTTTCATTTTATTTATTAATGAAAATTAAACAATTTAAATTTAGCATAGTTTGAGTCCACCAAATTTCTAAAATATTTGATTTTGACTTTTCAAGTTTCAATTATTTGATTTTGTCCCAACGTTTACTCTTCTTTTGTCATTTAACCGTCCTTCAATTACATGTAGACTAACTTCGCTTATGCAACATTAAAAAATTAAACCTGTTAATGTGGCATAAAAAATAGAGTGGTTGAGATGGAAAAAAAACTTTGCCAATGCAAAAATAGTGTAACGTGGATAAGGATGGAAATAGGTTGAATCGAGTTATATTTTGTCAAATCTAAGTTTGATTTGCTAAAAATATCAAAATCCATGTATAATTTGTAATCTGTCATGAGTTTATTTTTAAGCATCAACATGACCTTTTTGAATGTATGATTGACCTGTAAGCCTACTTATAAGCCTATTTTATTTACACATATATAATTAAGCAATTCAATTAAAGATTATATAAACTAAAAAGCTAAAAGATTAATGATACTAAAATGGTGTTTGCATTGACTTATTTGAGTTTACCTAGTAGCAGAAGATTTGCGAGACTATTTGTTTAGAAAATTTATAAAAATAACTTATGACAATGTTCATAAGATATTTTAAGTCTATTTTCACTGGTTCTTCAAAATAACTAAGTTTTTTTTAATTTTAAATTTAAAGTATAATGTACAATATAATAATAATAATAATAATAATAATAATAATAATAATAATAATAATAATAATAATAATAATAATAATAATAATAATAATAATAATAATAATAATAAACTTTAGTAGGTAGGTCTGATAGGTTTAACATGCTTTGTTCATGGTATGATGGCTAACCTTTTTAACTAAATAGACTTATAAAAAAACATAGGTCTTTTCTATTTAAAAAAAAAAAAACTTGACCTAGTCTGGACCTATATAGGTTGGGTCATAGAGTCTTGTTAGTTGGTATGACCTATTCCCACCCCTACGTGAATGACAAGATGTCATCCCCTCCCATCATGAAAGAAACTAAATCAATAAAAAGATTTTATTTGGAAGAACAGAAGTGGCGAAGAATAAAAAATAATGGACGTCGATTAAACGACAAAACAATGACGAACCTGTTCATAGTGATGAAAATTGGTCGGTCAACAAAGACTCCTCTCAAATATATATCAACGTAAGTTTGTTCATTCTCATTAGGGATTCCACGATTTTTAGGGTTTCAATATTCTTTTTTCCTTCAACAGAGTTATTTTATTTGTTTAAAACAAAATTAAAATTTTTATACGACTTCTTATATTCTTATATGTTCAAAGTGGTCTAGATTTTGTTGAGGAAGATAGTGAATATAATGAAGAAAAATATAACAATGATGTAGATGTTGATACTGATAGTGAATGGATTTTTTTTGAAGATAATGATTATGATGAAAGCTAGGACTGAACATATGTACTCCTAGATGAAACTCAAAATTCAACTCAAGGTAGTCAAATACAACAAGTTTCTAATGTCCTAGCTAGAGTTGAAGACTTTGAAGATGAAGATGGAGATAGTGAGTAATTAAATACCTCGAATGGAAAAAAATGAGGCATAAGGTAGTAAGTCTAAATATCCTAAATTTATAGAAGGTAAAGAGAATGTCACATTTGAGTTAAGTCAAAACTTTGTTAGTGTTGAGCTTGTTACAATATTACAAATAATACTTATAATGTCGCACGCGAAAGAGATGTAACCTCGACTACTGAGGCGACGTAACGAAGGGTGACATGAAAAGATGCCACTTAACGCTTCGGTTAATGAAAAACCGAGAGGTAAAGTTATATGATTATGGATTCGAACCCCGACATCTACATTTTAATTATTTACAAAAACAACGGCTCATACCTCTCGATTTATCCAAAAACCGAGGGGGTAAGATAGTTTGTTTTTTTTTAAATAAAATTCATTACATTGTTTACACAGAATATTAATAAATTAATTTGTTTACTAACTACATTGTTTACACATAATATTACATTGTTTACGCATAATATTACATTGTTTACACAGAATATTAAAGTAAAAATGTTGTTCTTCATCATCATTACTACCGGTGAAGAACATATGTCGGATATCTTGGAGAAGAACAAATATTGGGGATCCTCATTTCAATGATCTTGAGGAAGATCATTGAATCTAATATATTTTCTATTTCTTTTGCATTCGTTTTTTCTGATATAAAACAAAAAATGTTAGATAAATAAAATAGATATTCAGTTATATGATTATTTAAGAACACAAACCTTGAACCCATGATAATTTTTTACTCTTGCAATCCACCACATAAATCTTTGGAAAAGTAAATACAATCTCACCAACTACATATTAAATAAACCTAAATTTTTCTGCTCTTGCAATCTATCACATTGATACCTTTGCTTTGTAAAATTTCATGATGCTCTAATTAAACATAGAGAGTTTCACAATAATATTTGAGTTTCTTGTGGATTTACTACTATCAAATATTCTACAATCAGAATACTTTTATAATGAGGGTTTCACGAGGATCACTAACGGTAGTGTCTTAACCGTTGATACTCATTAAATGAAAGACAAAGATTTGAATAAGGATGGTGAAGAAACTGAATAAAAACACTTATATTTTACCTCAGTTATCACTTGAAACCGAGGTAAAATATATTTTTTTTAAATAAAAAACAATAAAATATGTTCCATCCCAAGTCACATACCTCTCGGTTTCTGTTAAAAACCGAGGGGAGACAACTTTTTTTTATTTACATTGTTTACACAGGATATTGAAATAAATTACTAAAACAAATCAAGAGTTTGACAATGGATTCTTAGAGAACAACCTAGATGAGTTATTTGTTCTAAACAAGAGAATTTTTTTCTTATATTTACATTGTTTTCAGATTCCTGAGAAGTTATCTGTTTCAACCAAGAGG